CAGAATTTTATGAAATTTGGAATAAATGTTATAATTGGCTAGAACAGAGAAAGAAAAAGATATAATTATTGATGTATATAAAATGTAAATAAGATGTAAAGAACATTTAAAATGTAAAGCACTGTTCTGTTAGAAGAAAAGAGTTATGTTTATGTAGTTTTGGTGTATGGTGTATGGTGAAAAATAATAATAAAAAAAATAAAATAATTAAAACAGTTAAACTATTGTAATAGCCCCACACTGTTTTTATTAGAAGTTATTTCAGAGGAAGAGCGTGAAATAATGACACATCCCCATTAAACCCAGCAGGTTCGCTTTAATCTCTATGAATCCCATATTTCAGGGACACCCCACAAAAAAAACCCTTACGAAGGAATTTAAGTAGATTATAGTACTTAAACTGTCACCAAAATGAAGCCAAGCAAATCCCCTTATAGTTTAACATCCCACGTGAATCCAGATATTGTGGTTGCTAACTCAAATTTTATAGTGTAGTGTGTTCTGTAAATCTTGCCATTGTAGCTTGTTCAAGCAACCATTGTTAAAAGAACCCACTGGTTAGGGCAGCATCCCCCAATCTTTTGGGCATCAGGGACTAGTTCCATGGAGAGAGTTTTTTCCGTGGACCGAAGGAGGCGTGGTTTCATGTACTGCTTGCATCCCGCTGATGGGGCTTAGCTTGTTTGCGCAGCCCAGTTTCTGGCATGCCGCAGACCGGTGCTGGTCCATGGATCAGGAGTTGGGGACCCCTGATTTAGAGCAATGTGTGAATTCAGCCACCACAAAAAAACCTGGTTCTTTTGACTTTCTCTTTTCTAGAGAACCTTTCTTGAATTATAAACTTTAACCAGCTTAGGACTGCCATATTTGTTTGCCTGCTTGTTTGCTTGCTTACTTATTTACTCATTTATTTTTAAGAGCTATAAGGATATCCTAACTCAAAACAATGTGACTCTGGGCTGCATTCCTCTAAAAACATTCTAGCTGATTTAAACTGTTTTTTTTCTTTTAATAACATAGAGTTTATCCTTGAGAATATATTTTGGTCAGGCATAATGGGAGTCGCAGTTGAACAGGTCAAGAAGATGCCGAGCTACACAAGGTTGCAGTAATGGGATAGGGAGACTGTGCTGACTTCCATGTTCTGAGTAGGGGTGAAGCCATCAGGGACTGGAGTGGAGTCTGAAGTAGATCTGGCCACCCATTCTCTTTCTTACCTTCTTTGTTTCTCTGATCGCTTCTCTCTTTCAAGGCTGAAGGAAAGCAGTTGAGCTTTTCCAGCAGATCAGGGTGAGCTCCAGGTGAGGTGAAGCATTGCTGCTCTGCAGTATTTCATACTGAGAAAAAGAACCCACAACGGAAGGTGACAGACTGGGAATCCAATTATATAAAATATCCATGTGGTGATTTCTGAAGAGCAGTTATTTTTTGCTTTGCTGTCGAAAATGAGCCAGCAACAGTTGAATGTTGAATGAAGGAGTTTAATCAAGTTTAAATTTAAAGGTTTAATGAAGGAGATGGGAGTTTAGGATTGTTTCCCTCAGCCTCCTTATTCATTCCCATGGGCTTGTTTATTCTGCCTTAGCCGTGAGGCAACTCAGAAGCCCATCAAGAACAGCTGCTGGAATGCCTCCTATGTGGTGAGGGCTCCTCCGGGACAGAGGCCACGTCTTTAGGACATACCAAAGTGTTTACTCACTCTACTGCCTTGAGCAACTCTGCTCCTATTACACCAACTCTGGATTCTTTGCATTTTCAACCCATGAAGTGACAAGGGACTGGTCAGGTTGTCTAGACTGTCGCCTAGTGTATGCTGAGTTTAACAGAATAAAAATATAATCAAGAAAACTTACTTTGGCTGAGGCAAATAAATTGGGCATCTCACCTTCTGTTTTTTGCGTTAACATTTCAGTCAATTCCTCCTCCCCGGATTGAATTGTCAGCTCTTTCTCACATAGCTGTTATTGTGTCATATAACTCGATGCAGAAGGCTGTTGGATAGTGTTGTGATGCTCTCAATGTTCTTCCCAGTAAAGGAGGCACCGTGTTTGGCTCTTATTGTTCACATATCCCTGCAGCTTCTTCAGGAGTTGTCCAGTGAACAGATTGGCCCTGGTGAGAGAACACCCCCTTCACAAAGATCTCCCCCAACCTTGCATTAGAAAGACAAGAGTGCCCCCTGCAATTCTCTGCCTCTGAGCTCAGCCAGAAACTCACAAAATAACTAACAAGTGAGAACAACAGAGATGCTATTGTGCGAGATCCCTCCCTCCTTTGTATTCAGTTCCAAGCATACAAGTTGTTATCTTACAGCTTGTCAGGCCTCCCTATTATGCGACATCAGCTGTGCTGAACTTCCTAATATGGGATGGTTTCTGAATTCCTACATGGCAAACCAGGTACTACATGTTTCAGACTCTGCCTTATTCAGCCCAGGAGGAAGTTTCAATCATGCATCCTTCTCCATTCTGAAGCTTTCAGAATTCAATGTGCTCAGATTGGTATGGAATGATGGGAGATGTAATCCAATAGAATAAAATAGAATTCTTTATTGGCAATAGGCTTGAAGGATTCCAGGTTGGAGAAGGCTGATTAATGGGCATACTGTGCCAGAGGTAATGATCTTTCTCCAGGGAAAAAACTGAATCAGTGGATGGTGCTGTCACCAAGAAAGAAGGCTAGTCTGGATACAGTCCCCTACACTCCAAATAGATTAGTGCTGTCCAAGTGGATACAGCTGATCATCTCCTTGGCACTGTCTTAGGTGTTAGATTTTTTTAAAAAAAAAATAACAACACTGGTATAACTTTTTGCATTGCGAGACAGACTTGGAATGAGGGCTGAACGCAATAGCCAGCATCCTTATGTGAATTACTTTCAAGGAAATGGATGGGTGCAGCATGATTACCTTCTAAGGATTTATTTTCATTTTTAGGATTCAAATCCTCATTTTGTTTTGACCAGTTGAAAATTATTTTAGAAAACTGTACGTTTGCTTATATTGTGTTTCCTTACTGACCTTGTTAATAACCCCCGTTTTATTCAAAGAATCATAAAATGTAGAGGTTGAAAAATGCCGATTATCTGGCTAAACCAGAAATGCATTATTATAGCATCCCAGACCTTTGAACATCCATTCTCCAATTAAACAGAGTCCATCACCTCCATTGCTAAACAACTTTTGTACTGTTAAATATTAAATTATTATCTCCCCTCCTGATGTTCAAGATAAATCTGTGCCTGTCTGTGTATTGGCTCCATTGCCTGGACAAGTCACTGCAGTTTTCTTGGCAAGTTTTCAGAAATGGCTTGTCATTGCCTCCTTCCTAGGGTTGAGAGAAAGTGTCTGACTCAGAATCACCCAGCTTATTCTGTGCCTAAAGCAGGACTAGAACTCTCTGTAGAGTTCTATAGACCTCTATAGATGCGGTGGGGAGAAATTTTCAATTTTTCAAGACAGCACATGGAGCCACCAAGAATAGCCCCACAGCAAGATAGAAAACCAATAAATTTAACACATAAATAAAATACATCTGTAAGGTTTTTAGCTGACAGCAAGAATCTGATTCTCTCAAACTCAGACGGAGGCTTCAGGAGCAGGGAAAACAACTTTTTATTCAGCCAAACAAAACAGCTGACAGCATACAGTCAGCAGCGTCTAAGGGAAGAGCCACACCTGGGGAGGGGAGGGTTGGCTACGTTTTTAATACAAAGTTTTGTCAAATCACAACAACGCAAAATTCAATAGAGGACACAGAGTTGCGTTGATTGGCTTGAAAAGGTAAGACAGTCATCAGTTCACCTAAGCCAGTGGTGGCGAACCTATGGCACGGGTGCCAGAGGTGGCACTCAGAGCCCTCTCTGTGGGCATACACACCGTCGCCCCAGTCCTAGGCCTTCAGCTGGGTTTTACAAAACCTTTTCACTTTAGGCCTCCGCTGCCATGTACAAAAAAAAAAAGGTTCAATCAATCAGTCAATTTCAACTTCTTGCAGGAAAAAAAAGATCTTTCAAAGTTGGAATTGATTGATTGAACTTTTTAGTCCCACCCAGTCTGCCATTACCACCACAGCCACACCCACCCAATGGGCCACGCCCACCCAATGGGCCACACCCACCCGGCACTTGACAATGCATAAGTGGATTTTGGGTTGCAGTTTGGGCACTCTGTCTCTAAAAGGTTCGCCATCACTGACCTAAGCATTATTGCTTCATTTGCATACAGGTATGTGATTCTCTTTGTTGAAGGTAAATGGCGTTTTTCCTGTGTAAGCGTGGTTCCTAAACGCGACATGGTGCTAGCCTGAAATTGGTTTAATTTTCCCTTCAGACCAAAAGAAAAAAAAATGAGATTCCTATTTCTGGAAAAATTCCAAAATCTAGTGATATGTGTGGACTGTTTAGGATACCAAACTATTGTTCTGAAGAGCATTACCTTTTTAAAAAAAAAAAAAAAAAAAAAGACTTTTCTTTGAAACTGAAATGAATACAATTGCATTTTATCCAAAATTCAACAAATAGCTCATATTTCTATTTTTGTTGTCATTTTTATTTCCCACTCAATACCTTGAAGGAATGCATTTGGCATTAGGCCCTTATGTTAATGGCACCTATTTAAATTTATTTGAATCTTAGCCATGTTTTAATGTCCTTGGCCAGCCAACATTATAATTTATAGCATGTGCTATTGATTTTCTAATTGGTTAACAATTCATTAAGGCAAAAACAGTTCCTCCCTTCCCTCTGAGATCTATTACATAGGAGGGAGCAATATTTCACTGCATTCATCTTCTCACTTTTCCATATGGCAGGTGGTTCCTGAATTCAGGAAATTCCAATCTCTGGAAATTGATAGAAGTTGGCTTGGAGTCTGAAGGAACTCTGAATTTCTTGCATCCCTCAGCTGAGGAAAAATGTAGATTAGATGTTTGGTAGATGTATGTTTGAATATACAGGTTCTGCTCCATCCTAAGACACAGAAGTTGGCTGGGTAACTTTCAGCCAGTCATTCTCTCTCAACCTTAGTTTCAGAAATAACCCATATTAAACCAAGCTGCTAGATTAGATTCATAATGTTCAGAGACCTTAATCTTGAAGTGGATTGATCAGATTGATCCCCATTCTCTCTCACACACATATGTCATCTACATTCTGTGCAATGGGGTTAATATTTATTGAATATGTTTTCATATCTTTGGGCTCCAGAAGCGATTCCCAACAGTTTATACCATAAAAATAGCAAAAACCCATAAACAATAAAAACAAAATTATATTTTAAAAAACTAAATTTAGATTAGATTTAAATTTTAGATTCAAGACACCACAAGGATGAACTGATCTGTAATGGGGTTAATATTTATTGAATATGTTTTCATATCTTTGGACTCCAGAAGTGATTCCCAACAGTTTATACCATAAAAATAGCAAAAACCCATAAACAATAAAAAAATAAAAACAAAATTATATTTTAAAAAACTAAATTTAGATCAGATTTAAATTTTAGATTCAAGGCACCACAAGGATGAACTGATCTGTATAAATATTTCTCAATCCTTATTTCTGCTCTGTTTATTGAACAGTTCTGACTTTGGAATTAAAGGCTAAAAGTTGTTAGGATTGCTAGCAGACCAGATATACTTATAAAGGTATCTCATTGACAACAGAATAAACTCTGTTGTGAATTTTGAACTAATTTTGATCCTATGTCAACCAAATCAGTTTTAATAGAGTGAGTGATACCATTCCTTTATTGTCCACAGAACTGTCAACAGGGAGAGGGTGCCAAATGATTGGGATTAGATGGATTGGGTTTTTTTTATAGTAGGAGAAGTTGAAAATTAGGAGAAACTTTGTGATGATGATGAATACAATTAATAATGGAGTCACAAAGAGAGATTGGGAGTTAAAAAAAAAATCTGAGCAATCATTTGTTGGGAAGCACTGAATGCCCTATCCCCTGGTTGGGATAGAAATCACCTAAGCCTTGTCCACTTGATGATTGTAGGTTTTGTTCTTATTCTGATTAAAAGTGGAAGATTAAGACTGGAAGAGCAGATAGGAACAAAGCGACTATCTTACATAGAACTGGAAGTATGGATGTGCATCCTAAATTTGTAAGTGACCAAATCATGATTTGAACGATGGGAACAAAAATATATGTTAAGCGTACAAATGCAATCACAATCTTAACTATAGAAGATCCCCTTAAATGGTTTCATGGTAGAATATGTCGATGGAGATTCTCAGTCATCCAGGTAGAGTTGAAAGTTGGAAGTTGAGTCATGGTAACTGAACTTTTCTTTTTGGTTTGAACCATTTCACTGCTTATCCAAGTAAGCTTCTTCAGTCTTTCATGGTAGAAATTTTGCATAAGAAATTTGCCACATGAAAGCATGCAACAGATGTTGAATGTGACAGTTCCTATGGCTTAAATGACAGTTAATGAGGTGTGAAGGAAAGGGAACCACCTGCTGTGCTATTTGAAGATACCATCTGATGATGCAGCAGCAGCAGTAGGTTAACAGAGTTTGGGTGACATTTCTGGTTGTTTGTTATTGTTCAGGGGAGGGATGGAGCCGTACTTTGAAACCCAAGCAAGCCTGGAATCAAACTTCAGAGACACCTCAAAAATGAACACAGAAATGCTTCAGTTTATCTCTGTCTAAAATGAAACCTCCATAGATTTTCACGTTCCAGCTGTTAGATGCTAGAAAGTCTAGGAGGCTGATTCTGAATGATTTTCATGGTTCCCAACTATATAGCTGCAAAACAAAACAAAATCCTCTGGCTGCACAGGGAGTATATCACAGGGCTGTGTAAGGTGGGGATGACTTTGATATATCCTGGGTGGAAAGATTAGAAAGCAATAGAGAACACCTATAGGCCCAACACTGAAATGGTTTTCCACATATAGCCATTTTGTTCAGTTTCATTTCCGGATTGCTTACTCTTCATACTTCATCAGAGGCTACTGTAAAGGTTCCCTGAGTTTTTGGACCTGGACAACTGTCAGGAAGCAGGAAATCTCTGAACAGCTCCTAAAGTTACTTTTGTCTTTTTTTTTAACCTTTGAAACTCTTCCTTGGATATTATTTCTGAGGACTCTCTATAGTTAATTAAGATTGAAACTTCATCTTCCTGACCCCAGGAATGACGGAGAAAACATTTGTGAAGGAAGCACAGTCTTAATGGCAGGTGCCTGAGTATTTTTTTTTTTTTTTAAATAAATGCACTTTTTTATTTTGCAATTATTGGTCTATAAAATTAACATGGTTATGCCACTTTATTCCATGTTACAGACATTTCTGATTTACTGATGACATAAAAAACATTGCCTTATTATTACAAGTAAAAACTAAGGCATGCAATTATAGTTAAATATATACATGCTAATTTTAAATACATTAAGACTTTATCTTTGGAGTTCAGTGCATATAGTATGCTGTTTGGTAAATAAGGTAACACCTTTTTTAATAACATCACCATGCCTAATCCTTAATTATGCTTGCAATAAATTATGGAATTTAATGTCTTTAACTTTTATACATCTATAAGATTAAGTTCCTGACCTACTCTGGTTAATTGTCTCCCACCCCAATATGTCCTCATTCTGTACCAATTAATATAACATAGTTATTTTATTTCTAGCATGCTTTCACTCTGAAGAGACAAGGCAGCATAGATAGAACTTAGTGAGGTAGGTATGTCTACAGCAAAAGTCACTGGCCCAGGGTTAGCATGGAGTTTCATGGTTGAATAGACTTTGAATCTTGGTTCTCCCTCATCCAAGTCAACACTGCAACAATTAGACATTGCAGGGATTTTTTTTTTTAAAAAACCTGTCAATTAAAATAAATAAAATTTGACCCAAGCTTATTAAATTATGCCATTTGATAGAGATGCGAATTCACATGACAGCTAGGATTACAGTGTCACCCGTAAATTGTCAGCCCTACTGCTTCTATTTTTCAGTGAATATTATCGGAGATGAAAATCAAGGCAACTAGGAAGATCAAAGCAGTTTCTTTCCTTAAAAATGTCCATATTTTTTTCAAATGTTATTTTTTTCAAAAGGCTGGAAAAATCAATTTTCAGTTATAACATTCGAACAGAAGGATCTACTCCTGCAGTTAAGTTACATAAAAGTGCCCCACATTAATTCAATATTATTCATATAAATAATATACAGCATTTAATTTTACAGTTAAAAAAAATTGGGGTAGCAGCAAAGGGTGACTATGACACCCTAGACCCACTGAAGTTAAAATCCTATATTCATCGATTTAGAAATAAGCCCTTCTGAACTCAGTAGAACTTACTTTTGAGTAGATTTGAATAGGATTGTACTACTCAGAAATTTGTTTTTTCTTTTGCAGACCACAACTGCAAAATTAATTATCTACTTTTTAAAAATATTTTTCCATATGTCCTAACGTGACATATGAAATTAACTTTATTATATCATCCATGCATACCATGAGCCAATATATTTCCTAATTCACTGGCAATAAAAGAAAGCATGCAGTTATCATTTATGAATTGAATTAATACATTTATTCATTCAGTACATGAAAGATTGCCACATAAATGGGCACTCTTGCACCTATACTGTTTTTTCGTAACTATAAATACCTGATTACAGTATTAGTGCTTTTTCATTGTGGAAAAAGAAATAATTCAATCCAAAACAGAAAACAATTTCTCAAGAAAAAAAGAGATGTCTATCTTTCCGAGAGGTTTACCTATCTCAAGTGCAAATACAGTACATAAGAAGGCTGAGGAAAGCTTTATGCATGCTCAGTTTTCCTTATATTATCCTGTGTCACGCATTTTATCTTGCACTACAAACACTGCATGTAGCCCATACACCGAAGGAACCAACCTGAAAAATGAAACAGAGGCTGCCTCCAAGTCTCTTATGCCTGCTACAACAGGCAAGTCCACAGAGCTGTCATAAGGTCTCCTCAGCTATGGTAAATTTGGGCTTTAACCTAACAGACCTTTTCCGGATAGTGCCTTTGGGTGACAAGGAAATAGTGTCCAAGATACTCTGGTCTTCTTCCAGTTGCTTGGCTGTGCAGTTTGGAGTGGGCACCTTCACAGTGTTGCCAAACTTGGAGTAGTCTACGGAGTATTGCCCATCCTCCTCAGTCACAATAGGCACAAACCTTTGGCCCCAAAGTATTTCATCGGCAAGGTAGGAGGTCCTGGCTTGGGTGGTGATGCCAGTGGTTTCCACCACCCCTTCAAGGATGACAATCACCTCCAGGTCCTCTTGGTGAATGAGGCTTGTTGGGGCCACCTCGTACAGGGGGCTATTCTTGTCTATCACGTGGTAAATGATGAGCGGGGAGACCAGGAAGATGCTATTGCCTCCCACCGGGTTCTCCATCTGGATCTCGATCTGCTGGAGGGGCATCACTTCGCCCTCCTGGCTGGTGGTCTTCCTCACCACCTGCATGCGGATGGTGGCGCTGATGATCATGCTCTTGCGCAGGTCGCCCACGCGCAGCATGAAGCAGAGCTTCCCCCCGCGGAGCGCGATCACGGCGTGCTTGCTGAAGATGAGCGTCTCGGCGCGGTGGTGCGCCTGCGAGGTCTTCATGAAAATGCAGCCCAGCATGATGGCGTTGATCAGCAGCCCCACGATGTTCTGCAGGATGAGGATGAGGATGGCGACGGGGCACTCTTCGGTCACCATGCGGCCCCCGAAGCCGATGGTCACCTGCACCTCGATGGAGAAGAGGAAGGCGGAGGTGAAGGAATGGATGTCGGTTACGCAGGGCACGAAGGGGGCCGCCGTCGCCTCCCGACCCCCGTTTGGAAGGCGCAGCTGCTGGGTGCTGTGGTCCAAGTCCCCGTGGGCGAAGGCGATGAGCCACCAGATCATAGCGAAGAGCAGCCAGCTGCACAGGAAGGTCATGGTGAAGATGATGAGCGTGTGGGGCCACTTCAGGTCCACCAGGGTGGTGAAGACGTCCTGCAGGAAGCGGCCCTGCTCCCGGATGTTCTTGTGCGCCACATTGCACGACCCGTTTTTGCCCACGAACCTGGCCCGCCGCTCCCGGGTCCGGTGGCGCGCGGGATCCGGGACATCCTCGGCCAGCCGGGTCAGCACGAACTCCTCCGGGATGATCCCCTTCCTGGACAGCATGGTTGGCGTGGGCTCCCCCCCCACACCCACCCTCCCTCCGCCGCCACCGACCTGCCCCGGCTACGGCCACGTGCCCGCCACCGCTGCGGGGACGCCAGCCAGCGGAGCCCTTAGGCCTCTTCACCGGCGCTCCCGCTGCCCTGGCCGACTCCCCTTCTCCGCCCCGCCAGTCCCGGCGAGCGCCGTGCGCTCTTCCACCACCCCCCCCCCCACAGCCCCAGCTGCGCACGCCAATCACAGCTCGCTTCGACTTTGGCGAGGCGGCGGCGGCGTTTCGTGACTTGCTCCTGACAGCGGCAGACGACAAAGCCAACTAAGGGTCGTCCGGCTTTGGAGGAAACCCCCCAGCAGAGGAGTCGTCAGGTGGCGGCCGCCACGCGCGACCGCCCGTTCCCTAATCCTGCGACAAATAGGATCGGCAGGGGGCGCTCTCGCGCCAGGGAATCCCGGCGCGAAGGTTTTTTCCCCACCGGGATCGGCACAAGCAGAACTGCCGGACTGTGCAGAGCGGCGCCCGCCGCCAAGACTCGGGTGGGTTGGAGAAGGTTTCCGTTCTTCCCTTCAAAATCAACCACTCCAGCCAACAATAGATGTATGCTCTATTAAAGAATACAGTGCATATATAATCAGAATCCTGCCTGCTTCTCACCCTCCGTAAGAAGGTAGAACTGAGATTTTTTCTTTAATTATTTTTCTCCTAAAAAAAGGAAGGGGTGGGAACTATAATCTCTGCCGGTGAAGTTGATTTACAGGTAAATACAATATTTCTATTACAGCTGATCTATTCAGATATGAAACATAATCATTTAAGTATGATTTTACTGTTGGAGTGAGAAAAAGAGGCAAGGCTGCAGATCTGCAATTCATCTGACTTAAGGAAATAAAACCCAGCTTCCTACTGTATTATACCATCGTTGTCCAACCTTTTGGCTTGCCTGGGTCGCACTGAGTGAAGAGGAATTGTCTTGTGCCGCATATAAAATACAGGTAGTCCTCGACTTACAACAGTTCATTTAGTCGCCGCTCAAAATTACAATGGCCCTGAAAAAAGTAACTTATGACCGTTTTTCACAGTTACCACCTTTGCAGCATCCCCGTGGTCATGTGATCAAAATTCAGATGCTTGGCAACTGGTTCTTAGTTATGACTGTTGCAGCATCCCAGGGTCATGTGATCACCTTTTGCGACTTTCTGACAAGCAAAGTCAATGGGGAAGCCAGATTCACTTAACAACCAGGTTAATAACTCATCAACAGTAAGTGATTCACTTAACAACTGTGGCAAGAAAAGTCGTAAAATGGGGCAAAACTCACTTAACAAATTCTCATTTAACAACAGAAACTTTGGGCTCAATTGTGATCGTAAGTCGAGGACTGCCTGTACACAATATAGTTAATGTATATAAATAACATGTGGCCCGTGGGCTGCAGATTGGACATATCTGTATTATACTCCTTGTAAAGTTGCATTTCAAACTAACTGCTAATTCCAGCATACTTTGGTATACAAAGGCTGCACTATAAAGTTATGTTTTACCTACTGTGGTCCAAATAACCCTGAAATTCCAAAGTTCCTCTGTTATTCTGTTTCTCTTTCTTAATAAACTTGGATAGCTCAGTTTGCAGGATCTGTGGAAAAAGTAAACTTGGTATGAGAAATTTTAGAAAAGGATCTGAAAAAACAGCAGTGCAATGGACACCGTTGTCTTCAGACTGCTTATTTACATAAACCAAGCCAAGTAAAGGAGCCTACATAGTGCTACATTGTCTCCAGATGTTTAATTATTAGATTCCCCCTCACACACTATTTTGGGCAATTCAAGGCAGCACACATATGTAATGCTCCTCCTTCCTGTTTTGCTCACAACAATAACTCTGTTAAGTGGGTTGGGATAAGTGACTGGCCCAAAGCCACCCAGCTGGCTTTTATTCCTAAGAGAGGACTAGAACTGCTAGTCTCCTGAGTTCCAGTCCAGCATCTTAGCCACTGTACCAAACTGGTCTCAATCATGCATAACCTAAGTATTACACTGCCATGAAGATTACCTATTTAGAGTTAGAGTCTGCCTTTCCTTCAGGAGCTCAAGATGGTGTCCATCCTATTCCCTCCTATCCTTTTTCTCGGCAACCATCACCAGTCTAAGGTGGGTTGGGTTGAGAGATGGTAACTCACTCAAAGTCATCCAGTGAGCTTCACTGTCTGACAGTGGAACTAGAATTGAATCTCCTCTGTTCAAGACCAACATATCTAACTAAGGTTATAGGTATTGGAATTCTGGTTTCCATAAATCTCATACAGTGGTTGCTGGGCATTTGGAGGATATGGAAAGTATAAGATTCTGGTTAAAATACTACATGTGATGCTATATTTCTGTAGTAAATAAAAATATACACCAGACTCAAGAATCCTAGAAACAGTGATTCTGGGATAATACAGGATGTTTATTCTTAACCCCTTGATTATCTTCTGACAGTTAATACTGCTATCCCTCTCTTACAGCTCTTGGGTTTTAAAATCAGCACATTTTCTTCCTGGCCTTTCTATGGCTTGACAGAAATCATACTTTTATATTTCTTTGTGCTAAGTAGCCGGTGGGTTCTGTCCGGGAAAAACTCAGACACTGCAGAATCTCCTCCAACACCTTCATGCTCCTTAATCAAGGTTAATATGGGGTGCAAATAGAATGAAACTCTTTGTGTGACATTTAAGACATAGTGTACTGTGCTGGTTGAGAAAAGTGCGTATTTAAGGAATAGCCTAGAAATGTGTGGTTAGAAAGCCTCATCCAGGATGAATGGCTCATGGGTCTACTGAAAAATGAGTGACCCTTGAAGGGAACCATAATAAAGGGGAAGAATAGGTAAATTTATTTGAACTGCTGTAAAGAAGATTGGGAAATTATATTTTCTTTTTTTCCCCTTTTCTCTTTTTTTAATTTGTTCATTGGCTCTATTTTCTTTATTTGCTCTTTTTCTTTTATGTTTATTTTTACAATGCATAAAACCTTTAATAAAAATTACTTTTTTAAAGAAATGGGTGAATCTTCTGTTCATACTAATGACACATTTCTACATATTTAGGAAGGTTTCAATTTGTAAGAAAGAAATTGAAATAAGAGATTTTAAAACCATAAATTGCATGAAGAATGATCTTTAATCTGCCACAGATCTACTACTAGTCAATCATGTAAAACTTTAGTAAGCTATAGAGTGCATATTTGGCAGTTATAACCTGTATGGTTTTATTGTATGAGCTGTATTGTTAATAAGAGCTAATTGTTCAGATTTCGGTATATCATGCCTGCTTCTGTGTAACGGGCTTTGCATTATATTTTCATTTAACTCGTTTTGACCAGTAAAATTGCTATGGGCTTGAAGTTGCCACCAAAGTCTCCATAATTTGGTAAATGGTTTTACAATTCTCTATCATCCTGCCAAGATATATTCCTTATCCATGTGATATTCAATGTACATAATGTACTTAATTACAGGTGCAGTCACAGAATTCTTTTGCTGGTATAGCCTTTGCCTTTGATAGGCATGGCTAATGTAAGGTTCTTACCTAAGGTGTCAATTTTTGACATCTGGCAGAGCCCTAATTTAAATACCTCATCATGCAAACTTGCTTTTCTTTTTAAAATTTCAAGTTGATTCATTATGAAACTTGTGGATAAACCAGTGGAAAAGGAAAAAAAAGTCTCAGTAGCTCCTACTGGAAAAGTAAGATACTCACACTTAAGAGGTAAATGAATTGTACTTTATTTCTTAAGAACTTATAGACTAAGCTTTTTATTATTAAATATTTTTTATTTACAGATATTTTACATAATTAGAAAATTGATAATAAAACAGTTCTTTTGAGTGGTTTAATAGTTTATACCATAGCTACTTGTCTGCTTGAACAAAAGAAGCAAACACGCTGTCTTCTTTTTCCAGCAGAATTTCTGGTTTGTCGTATTCTAAAATAACTCCTCTCTTCATGACAATAATCATATCAGCGTTCAGAATAGTGTGCACCCGGTGCTGTAAGACAAACAGGCATGATTAAAATTTTAATTGCAACATATAACTATTTCTGAAAGAAACAAAGTCTCCAATCAAATATCTTTCATATATGTTGGACTGCAGGCCCCATAATCCCCAAATAGAATGTTCATTGTTCTGTTCTATTTAAAATACATATTTCAGAAAAAATATACCATTCTGGCTGAAAATATTTTACATGCTGGCATATAAGTTGTTATCACTTCATTTTCATCTTATACTAGCTTTGTTTTTGAAATTAAAAAGGGAGCCTTGGTTTGTCCATGTGAACTCATTCTCCCAACACATTGAAGATTGAGCATTTCACTTCCATAAGATGAATTGTTAAGAAACAAGATAAGTTTAATCTCTACTGTGTTATGTTAATTCTGTTTTCATATTATTATTTTGCTTGTTGATTTTATTGGTTACATTGGTGGAAAGAGAGATATAAAATAAATCAGTCAGTCATATTCTATAGCTGTGTCCATTTACAGAGAATTATGGACAATTTGGTTCACTATTGATTTGCAAATGTAACTATCATCATCATCATCAACATCAACATCATCATCATCATCATCGCCTTGGATGCAATCCCAAAACAATTGGAGCACTACTTGAACACCATTGGCATTGACAAATTCACAATTAGTCAATTGCAAAAGGCGGCCTTACTAGGAACTGCTTCCATCCTGCGACGATATCTGTAATACCGTCAAACATCCATATCTGCCTATCCCAAGTCCTTGGTAAGGACTCGATAGGTAGACAAAAATGCCAAATCCAGTCTGAACATCTGGCTGACTGCGATTAATAATAATAATAATAATAATAATAATAATAATAATAATAGTTGGAAGGGACCTTGGAAGTCTTCTAGTCCACCCCCCACATTTCAGACAAATGGTTGTCCAATCTCTTCATAAAAACTTCCAGTGTTGGAGCATTCACAACTTCTGGAGGCAGGTTATTCCACTGATTTATTTCTTCTCAGTTCTAGGTTGCTTTTCTCTTTGATTAGTTTCCATCCATTGCTGCTTGTCCTGCCTTTAGGTGCTTTGGAGAATAGATTGACACCCTCTTTCCTGTGTCAGCCCCTGAGATATTGGAACACTGTTATCATGTCACCCCTAGTCCTCCTCTTCATTAAACTAGACCTACCCAATTCCAGCAACTGTTCCTTATATGTTTTAACCTCCAGTCCCCTAATCATCTTTGTTGCTCTTCTCTGCACTCTTTCTAGAGTCTCAACATTTTTTTTACATTGTGACCAAAACTGAAAGTAGTATTCCAAGTGTGGCCTTACCAAGGCTTTATAAAATGGTATTAACACTTCAAATGATCTTGATTCTATCCCTCTGTTAAGCAGCCTAGCTCTGTGTTGGCTTTTTTGGCAGCTGCAGCACACTGCTGGCTTGTATTTAAGTGATTGTCCACTAGGACTCCGAGATCCTTCTCACAGTTACTACTATTGAGCAAGGTACCACCTATACTGTACCTGTGCATTTGGTTTTTCTTGCCTAAATGTAGAACTTTATTTTTTTCACCATTGAGTTTTATTTTGTTAGATAGATTTTGTTCAATTTTGTCAAGATCCTCCTGTATCTTAAGTCTATCTTCTGAAGTGATAGCTATTCCTGCCAGTTTGATGTCATCTGCAAATTTGATGATTTCCCTATCTATCCCCTCATCCAAGTCATTGATGAAGATGTTGAAGAGCACTGGGCCCACAACAGAGCCCTGGGGCACCTCACTACACACTTTCCTCCATGTAGATGCAGTTCCATTGAGGACCACACGCTGAGTATGGCTGGTCAGCCAGCTACGAATCCACCTGATGGTGATGCTGTCTAACCCACTTTTTTCTATCTTATCGAGTAGTAGGTTGTGGTCCACTTCATCAAATGCCTTACTGAAATCCAGGTAAATTATATCCACAGCATTCCTCTGATCCACTAATTTTATCACCTGCTCAAAGAATACAATAAGATTTATCTGGCATGATCTGTTTTAGACAAAATGTGTCTATATAAATTGAAATAAAAGGGATAATGCTTTTGAAGCAGGAAATAACAGACTCAGTTACAAATCAATAACATTTCAGCAGTAAAATATAATATACTTACTGCAATTATCACTACTGTACGATCAGCAAAGGCAGTCATTACAACCTTCTGAAGAATGTTTTCCTACATAAGCAGACAATGAACGTTTATATTAATTAATGAGCTCACTTATATACATGGAAACACTGAACAGTATTTCAATAATTACTAAGAATTTTGCCTCCTTATCAAACCATTATCTAATTTATCAGGAACATTTGAGTCCCTGAACTTACAGTTGCCATGTCAATAGACGCTGTGGCTTCATCCATGATTAAGATACTTGTTTTCCGTACAAACGCTCTGGCTAAGCAGAACAGCTGTCTTTGCCCTTGGCTGAAATTTTCTCCACCTTCTGTGACTATTGCATCTGATTAAAACAAATATTTAGAGAAGGGCAGTCATATGGAAACTCATGGATATCTTCCTTATACCAATTCATCATTCTACGTCTCACTTTCTCATACACAAGCATTACTTATATTATGCAATCCTGTATTCCTGATATATATATGCACGTACACAGTTGTACTATTTGTACAATTACAGATCCCTTTGACCAGCATACAAAACCACACCTAACAGACATATGACCAGGGACTGAGACTATAATGATCAGTTTTGTCTCCTTCTCCCACCCCCATCCCTGCAAGTATTTTTCTCATTACTATCTTATGGAGGGAGAAATGAACTCCAAAATTCTGATAACTTCAGCTGACCGGATAGGCTTGGAATGACATTTCACCTCACTGCTTCCTGCACCCATTGAGGATACTATAGTCCCATTGCATCACGACAAGCGCAATGGATAGAGGAGTTTATGCCTCAGTAACATTTTAATGTAATGGCTGCTATTCATTCTACACAGATCTAAGCTTCAAGGCAATCTGAAAGCCATTGCAGATATAATTGCTAGGATTCTAAGGGGAAGCAAAGGAGAACTGGGGCCTTGATCTTCAGACTTGTCTACCTACAAGCTCCCATATCCAATTCATGATAATTGCCGATGAGCTACCAGGTGCAACTGAATGCATAGATCCTTGGGTATTACACCCTAAATGCTTCTGAGCCTCAGTTATTTAAGAAGGGGAATGTAATAAACTTGAGACAGGGACTTCTTGATGGCAGCTCTTTGAAGTTTCTTCCTTTAGGAAACATAGTGGGCCCTCCAAAAATAAACCTTCAGACAAAACTGAAAAATGGTAATGTAGCCAGACTTTGAGAATATAGCCTGATCACTTGACTGCATTACTTTGAAATTATATCTAATGTCAACCATCTTCTGGAGGAAGACATTTCTAAAGAAAATGAGCAAATTATGAAGACACTTAGTGTTGTGTTTTCGGTTCGTGGCAATTGACGAAGACACATGGTGAAAAAAACAAGCTCTTTATTTCGCTCTCCTACAACCAAGCAAACAGCAAAAGGCACGCAGGCCTTTTATAGTGCCTGAAACCCAGACAGTGTGAACCAATAGGAATTGACCATTTTCGCGCCTTGCGCATGCGCGCAAGGCTGGCGCCACCCTGTCTGGTACCGGGCAGCTTTTGGATTGCCCGGGACCATTTGCAACAATTCTGAGCCTGCTTTCAGCTCTTGCAGGCTCAGGACACAACACTTAGCATTGTGGTCTCTCTCTAAAAGAGCTAAATTGAGTAGAAATGTTTTGAGTGCTAATCTCTCCATAGTTAAAGGAATGATTACCTAGTCCCCCAGGTAAAGCTTTCACCACATGCTTCAGTTGTGCTATTTCCAATGCTTCCCATAAGGTGCTGTCAGTGCATTTCTTTTCTGGATCCAAGTTAAATCTGCAAAAATAAAAATAAAAATGACTAAAGAGACTCAAGCTTGTCCGCATTTTTGTTAATCTGTAGCGAGCACAATGTATTACTACTACTGATATGTCTCATTTTAAAATTTAAAATGCAAGGTTTAAAATGCAAGGTTCAGGTCTAGCAAATGAAACTTTTTTTAAATGTAGCTACATAACCACCATATAGATACAATCCCCATTTCTGGAGAGGTTGTAGTGGGATATGATTAACAAAAACCTAAGAGCAACATCATGAAATGAAGGAATGCATTTATAAAAATGTACAAAAATAAACACATACTGTACACTGTGTTTATTTTACGGGCTATAGAAACTGCTTCCTTGGATAATCATAAGAAACAATTACTCATATTCTTATTGTAAAATTTAGCAGAACATCATTTAAAATAAATTTCAAGAAGGGACACATAAAGAAAAGTTAAAACACTTTTTTTGAGCAACTTGTGAACTGTGGACCCAGGGGATGATAAATCACAATCTCAACCAAAAATGCATCAAAGCATTAAAACCTCCTGTTTCCTTCATGCTCTTCTTTATCTATTGATATTAATGGAAGAGCAACTTTCATCAGCATTTAACTATATTTTTGCATACTATTCTTTATCCTAACTGGGACAATTGGATGACTAAACTTGATCATTGGAACACTCACCTGATTGTGCCACTGAACAAAATGGGGTCTTGAAGAATAATTGACAATCTGGATCTCAGAGTTTGTAAAGGGAGCTTGGCAATGTCTATGCCATCTATAATGATCCTTCCTGTTTTTAAAAAAAACACAGATTTTTTGTGGACCGGAAGTGGTGTGGTTTTGTGTGCTGCCTGCATCCCATGGATGTGGCTTTGCTTGTTTGCATAGACCGGCTGCTGGCATGTTGCAGACCGGTGCTGGTCCATGGACCAGGGGTTGGGGACCCCTGTTCTATATAATAGAAACAGAATTCTCTCTTATAATATTAATAAATTAAAGATGTGTATGAAAATAATTTGAGATTTAGTGGAGACAAATGAAAATTTCTTCACTTTGGGAAAGTAACTCTAGTTCATAGTATAGAATAGGGCAGTGATGGCAAACCTTTTAGAGACCGAGTGCCCAAACTGCAACCCAAAACCCACTTATGCATCGTCGGGTGCCGGGTGGGTGTGGCCCATTGGGTAGGTGTGGCCCATTGGGTGGGTGTGGCTGTGGTGGTAACGGCAGACTGGGTGGGACTAAAACGTTCAATCAATCAATTCCAACTTTGCAAGATCTTTTTTTCCCCGCGAGAAGTTGAAATTGATTGATTGATTGATTGAACCTTTTTTTTTTTGTACACGGCGGCAGAGGCCTAAAGCGAAAAGGTTTTATAAAACTCAGCTGAAGGCCTAGGACTGGGGCGATGACGCAGAGGGCTCTGAGAGCCACCTCTGGCACCCGTGCCATAGGCTCGCCACCACTGGAATAGGGGATATTTGGCCTGGTAATAATACTTAAAAAAAAGAACTTAGAATTGTAACTGATCATATGCTGAGTATAATGATGTAATGTGAGTAATCTAACATACCAGTTACAAAGGAAAATGCAATTTTATTCTACATGAATAGAAGTAGCTTCCAAACTGCAGGAAGATTTCTTTCCAATGTGTTCAGTATTGGTCAAGCCCCCCACCTCAAGTTACCAAGTCCTTGAAATACTAAAATCTGAATCAGATGTAGAGCAGGATAAAGAGGCCAAGGAGGGAACTTTGTCTTATGAACAGAGGCTGAGGGTTACTTGTTAAACCCTGAAAAAAGATGATGGGGAAGATACAATAGTTCTTTTCAAGAACCTGAAGAGCATGACAAAGAAGTAGAGTGAGACTATTCTCTTATCATCCCTGCATGCACGTCAAGTGTATTGGGTCTTACATTCAGGTAGGAAAAATCCTACTGAATGTTAGGAAAGTAGGTCACTTCCTCTTTACTGGATGACTTTAAAAAGAGGTTGGACAAAAATTTATCCAGTTAGATTGGGTGATCTCTTCCACTCCCATTATTCCATTGGAATGGGCAGGAAGGTTATGTGGCCACTTTTAGCCATATACTGTATGCTATATATTAATTAACTTTAGAAATCAAAATTAGATGGAAACCCCTTGCTAATTTTGTGGAATTGAGGGAAGCGAATGGAGCAAAAGATATTTTATGTCTTCTTGAGATATCAGGATGGGGAGGGAGGGGAGGAGAAGAATGGGCAAAAGACAGATGGTCCCTTTATTATAAAAGAAAACCAACAATGTTAAAATAAATAAAACAAAAATGGGAGATGTTTACTTTATCAGTACAGATTTACCTTCAAAGGCATCAACCATTCTAAAAAAGGCTAGAGAAAAGGATGACTTCCCACTGCCTGTTCTGCCACATATTCCAATCTGCAAATCAGAAAAAAAATATTTGAACTAGGAATGGTACAGGGATTAGTATTAAAAGTACACAGTAGAAACAGATTGTCAGTGGCAGGTTAGATTCTTGTGAAGATAAGAAGTTATTAAAAGTGACTTTGCACTTAGGAATACTACTATGTAGAAAGTGCACCTATTCAATATTAATTAATAAGTATCACTTCAGCCTTTCTCTTTTAATTTCATAATTTCCTGAGGCAAAAATTGGGAGATTATATCCAACTTTATCTGTCCATGACTAGATTTGCTCTAATGCAAATTTGGAGAGTTGGTCCAGGAGAGGAAGAGAAAAACCTATTGCATGAGATATCATCCCAAAATGTGATCAGAATGTACTGAAAGTTTAAGAACAAAATAAATGGCATATCATGTGATTTTTTTAAAAAAAAAAGTTAATGGATGATTTGAAAGGTTTTAAAAAAAGGGAGAGATTGATTTTTAACTTGATGTATTGGAAAAATAAAAACTTGAATGAAAAATCTTAAATGAAAAACAGTTTTTTTAAAAAACGGTAGTCTTGAGTGCTATATCTTGTAAGAATATAAATCTATGCATGTTTACCTGAAACTAATTATTCATCTGAATTTACTGTTACATATCCGAATAAGAATACCAAAGATACACAACAGAAAATACTTTCATCAGAACAATATCATCTCAGAATCATTTTTTAATAGGAGGAGGACTATCCTATGTAAGATTCAGCAGTTACTTCCATTGAGTTCAGTGTAGTTTATTACCTTCAGATAACTATACATTATCATATATATATAGGACTATATAATACTATTATAACACTATTACTAAAATAAGAGCCAATTTGGTGTTCTGCTTAAGGCCCCAGGCTAGAAAGTGAGAGACCCTGAATTCTACTTTTGTTTTGAACATGAAGTCAACTGGTTGAGTTTAGTCCACTCACTCTCTCTCAGTCCTGAGAAGGAGGCAAGGGCAAACTACTTAAGGACATTGCCAAGAAAATCGTAGGAACTAGTCCAGGCAGTTGCCAGGAATCAAAATTGAATCAAGGGACAAAATTCTCTCTCTCTGTCACTATCTCCTTCCCTCCCCTGTGGGACTTCCAGATCCAGATGGACAGCAGGTACTGGCCATCAACCAAAATACTGTGGTAGAAGAAAGATGTAGTGTTATATGTTGTAGCAGTGCCAAGTGACAGCACCTTTGGAATGAAGGAGGAGCTGGAAAAGTACAAGGCCCTGAAGGAGGAACTAGAGAGTAAAAGCCAAAGTGGTCCCAGTAGTAGTAAGATCACTCAGGATTGTGACTCTTAAGCTGGGAGAGTGGCTCCAATAGAACCCAGGAATGACGTCGGAGCTCTGTCCAGAAGAGTGCAGTGCTAGGAACAGCTAAGATACTCTCCATAACCCTCAGACTCCTAGGCCTCTGGTAGAGGACGTAAGATTGAGGAAGACGTAGACCACTCATGGAGTGAGAAGGCATTATTTTAATATTCACAGCTCTAATCTAAGGAATATGTTTCTGGAATAATTGCCTGTTTTTATCTGCTGGATGTAGTTTTTATTTAAATTGAGTTTAATTGTTAAACGCATTAATGTACATGATAAACATTTGTATTACCTTTTGTCCTGGAGAGATATGGGCACTGACATGTTTTAGGACAGGCTTCAGAGTGCTATCATAGCGGACACTCAGATTCTGTATTTGAATCTCCCCCTGATCAGGCCAGTTCTGAGGAATCTGCGCTGGAGCTAAATCCAAAAAGAAAGCAACATACGTCCGTTTGCTTATTTATATGTATATATTAACCATTGGCAGCAAGCACAATCTTTCTAAAGAATCCAGTGCTTCATTAAATATAATTTAAGCAGGTTCTTCTGTAAGTCATACAACATACTCACAAAGCAGCCCTTCATAATTTTCAGCCTCCGTTTTTATAAGGCCATTGAGTCTTTTCACAGCTCCCAGTTGAAGCTCCATATCAGCCAGGTTGCGAACCATCCAGTTTAGGTAGTTAGACACCTAAAATAAATACCTAAGTAAGATTAGTATTTGCAGTTCACATTAAAATAGAAGATCCTTTGAAGACTGCACACCACAATTATCTACTCCCAAAAGAATAGGAGTCTCCTTATGCAAGAGTCTGAATATTTTGTAGTTTTGTAACATTAGGCTGTTCATATGAATAAAATTATTGGAAATGTATGTCAGAATCATTGACCAAATACATTTACCCAAGTTAATTCAGCATGCAATGTACTACATGCTGTATATTTGGAAGAAAATGCACATTGCATCCCTTTGGATGGAAAGAACATCTTTTCTTTAATTCACTTACCATCAGAGCATAGGTTAATCCTAAACCTACAAGACCTGAAGAGAGATTATTCTTTAGAGAACTGGTAATGGATGTAACTGCTGCAATAAGCACCACACATGCTCCAATATATTCCTAAAGAAATAAGAAGTGTGTGAGAAATCCCAGTATCCAAGAAAGTGCTACGGTTCTTATTCTTCACTACATTTTTACCTAGTTTTAAATAGGGAACCCAGTTCTTTTCTTGTTTATTTTATCTTTGCAAAACTGCTGAGTCTTAAGACAGGCTAGAGAACAACTGCAGGAATTAACGCAATAACAATTGTGGTTTAATAAGGATTTGAACAGGTGTTTCCCCAGTTGAACCCTATATACCATTTTTCCCATTGCACAGAGAATACCATATATATTCTATTTGTGTCATTTGGCTTGCTGTCAGGAAATATATAATTATTTAGATATCCAGAATATACTATGTATATCATGTTTTTTTTTAAAAAAATGGTACTTGGTTTAATGATTAAAAATTAAATGGTCTTTTAGTCTTTGAACTAAAGACTCAGTGAAAGAAATATGCCAAAATCAATTTCTTTCTAAGTCTTATTTAACAAATGTAACATGTTAGGAACAGAAGGGGATTTGAAACTATATATTGATATTACATTGTCCAAAAATAGGCAAAAAGAATCAAAAGGATGTCCGTTTTCTGACTAAATAAGCGAAACAATTATTAGTAAACACTTATTTCCCCAATGAGTTCCTCATTCAGAATTTGTTGGAAAAATATTTTAGAATTTTATCTAGGAACATTAATTGTACTCCAGATATGTACAATCATTACATACATGTAGGGATTGATTTTCATAGTGCAACCTTCCCCAGTTTGATGTTTTCCAGACTCTTAGCCTATTACCTTCATGAGCCACAGTGAGTTGAATACAAAGCATCTATGTAATGACCTAAAAGAGCCCCATGTTTGTGTTAAGAAGCTCATCCAAAATGAGGCGCAATAATACCAGTTAAATCTTAAATTAAGTTTATTAACTGGGCAACTTTTAAAATTAGCAGCCAGTGAAGATCTTTTGGCTAGTAGCTATATAAACACCATAAAAATAGCATGCTGAATGAGGATTGCTCTCTTGGTATGATATGCTTCTGTTAATATAATAAAACAGCATTGTAATGTATCAATAAGAACTTACAGAAATGATGTGCAAACATATTAAATTTTTTTCTTCCTTTAATAGGAGGAGTTTAACCTTGTCAGATTTTTCTTTCTTTAATTTAATAAATTCAATCAGCTAAGAATTTCCTGGCTACAAAAGCAATAATGAATTGACCTTTAGCTTCTGAATACTGGTTGGTGCAATTGCTACAAATATAGGCACCCTATTTAAAATCAATTGGTAATCCTAAATAAGATCATAAGAATGACGCATCTTGTAAAAAAAAAAAGAGAAAAGATTGGGGCAGGGGACATTTATATAATTTTATACCAGAATAAGATACTTGCCATGCGAACTTCCAGCCAACGATTGGCAGCTGTAAGGAAAAGGGAAGCGATGTTGTTAGAATCCGTATATTCAAGAAGCTTCTGTTTAAACCGGGATTCATACCTTTATATACATATAAAAAAAGACAGATGAACACAGTGGTTATTTTAATAATTATGGTGTTTTAAGACTCTTCTGTTGAAAGTTTTCAATTTTGAAAATAGGACACACTAGGTAAAATAATAATTTGTCTCATATTCTCTGCTACTCACCATTCATTTAGTCATAAGTAAATGCTGGGTTTATGCAACACTTACTTATAAAGTACATTTATATGGAGGAGGCAAGGAAAGAAGTAGGGTTTTGATAATAGCATGCAGAGCTGGTGAAATATTAGCCTATATTTGAAAAATGTGCAGCTATCACAATCTGAAACTGTTAGCACAAAGTTAAATAAAGCAAAGAAGTGCTAACTAGCTTTTTAACTTGTTTTTACTACTGAGCTAATTTTAGAAACTCAAGATCTGAGTTCTTTGCTTAGTGATTAGAATCCAAACTTCAAATGTCACTTCTACAGCACATAAGGCAGCTGAAAACAATATCTAAATATAGCTGAGTTCCCCACAGGCGCTTGATGGTAAATAAAATACAGGAACTGATAAAAGCCTAGTTCAATTTGGGTCAGAGGTGTATCAGCTAGTTTTAATTCAGTTTGGAAGAGTTTGCTCTGCCAGCAATTATTTTAGGCAAAATCTGAAATCTGGAGAGGACATTTTAACCCAAAGATAGCATAAGGGAAGTAGCATGAGGGAAATGACTGATCCCAGCAGAGCTGCATATTGATTTTCATTATTGGTTAGGGCATTTTTATCTTCTTCCCATGAGGGAAAAACTAAAATCAAAAACAGAAAGTAATCAACAATTAAAAACATAATGGAACAGTAGGTCTAATTTGCTTGTCAACATATAAATGTAAAAAAAATGCTAATTAGCAGGAAAAATTTCCAGCAGCCTAACAAATGTGTCATAATTATAGTAATTAAAACATACATATAGAACTAATTTTATTGTTGTTACTCAGGGAGTTTATAAAACCGAAAATAGTTTGCAGGCTGTGGTGACTCAGTGCACATCAGCATAAATACTGTAGGATGCTACACTTTTGGAAAATGGGATTTTGTATTGGAGATATACTGTGTTGTTTCTGGTTCCCCCCCCCAGTTCCTAAATGTTGAATTGAAATGTACAACATACATTTCACAATTCATTCAATTGCAGAAACTTAGGAAGCATCCTCTATCTAATTTAATGTGAATATTAATGAATCAACACATAGAAAGAAAATGTTTTCCCAAGAAAAATGTTGTCTCAGATTAATGAAACAAAGAGAGTTCTGGAAGGAAGATGCTTATAACCAACTTGATAGAAACAACTGATGTTTTTCCTAACTTTATTCTTGATATCCATAAAATCATACAGTTAGTCCTCACATGGTAACCACAACTGGGAGTAGCAACTCCATTGCTAAGTGAAAGATCATGTGACCACAACGGATTTATGTCACTTCCCATTCAATCACTAAGTGAATCACCATAGTCATTTACTGCATCTTGTAATTTTACTTGTGTGTTCTTGATTAACTCTGTCACAAGCTAGTTTCAGAAGTACACAAATGGCGATAATGTGACTGTGGGACATTGCAATGGTCATAAATGTAAGCCAGTTGCAAAGCTTCTGAAGAGCGATTACATGACCATGGGATGCTGCAATGGTCACAAATGCGAGGACTGGTTGCAAAGCTATTTTTTTAAAACATCATTGTACATCTCAATAGTTGTTAAATAAGGCAATTGGTAAGCAAGGACTACCTGAATTAGTAGCATTGTTGTGTCATGCTAAATTATCTCCAATTTATAATTCAAGATTTGGCTGTTTAAAAAATGTAATGGAATTACACTTTAGTAAAAAAGAGGAAGTTTTTATCTCTGACAATTATTTAAAGATTATTTGTTCTAGACTCGAAAAGTTTAACCTCTCAGCAAATTTGATGGTATTCTTCACTAATGCTTGATATTTCAGGTTAATCGCTAAACTAACAGTTTAAATCCAACAGGGATTTTAATTTTGCATAATCACTCATACTGCTTCACTTAGTTGGTTCTATGATGGACAAGAATTAAATTAAAGTCTGAACACAACCAGTTTATTTTTTACAATATTAGAAGAATGCAGATTTAAATGAAATACCTGAATGCTCGTATAGTTGTTAGCCCTTCCACTGTCTCTGAAAAGTGAGAAAGTAACGGAAGCTGTGTACTGTCATCCAACTGCTGTAGATCCCTAAAATAAAAATTAATTAATTTATAAGAAATGTGTGAGAACATCCATTTTTTTCCTGTAATGCTTGAAATTCAGAAGGGTTGCATTCTATTTTGCAAGCAAAATAACTCAGTAATCCAGATATGTAATCTTACAATGAGAACCTGTTAAAATTGTAAAAACAAGATAGATGGTCCCAACAGAATATTCAAGAGCTTAAAAGTGATTAGTTGTGACTTTTTTTTTTTCATTTGTGTTTCCAGATGGATTCTCTCTCACACACACATATTTATTAGCTTCATATAAAGAGACCAGTTCTTTCATAAAGTAAATATATTTTGGAATGCTTACCTTGATGCTACTCTAAAATATTTCTGGGTGAAATAGCATATGACGGCAAGAGGTACGAGAGCTATCAGAAACACAGGTGTTACATATGAAATCACTGCAAGAGCTGATAAACATAACAAGGTAGAACGACTCAGGCACTCCAGAGTAGCAGGGATATGCTAAACAGACAGGCACATACAAGAAAGAAAAATAAATGTTAACTGTGATGTGCTTGAATTAAGTCTTTCAAATCAGCAGTTCCACTTGACCTTCTCTAGTTCAGAATGAAATCACACCCATGTTGAATATTTGATTTTAGGCATTTCAGCAAAATAAATATGGATTCTACTGAAATTGTACACTCAGAACTTGATTACTCCGATATATTTTACTTGGTGGGTTGCAGTAGAGTTTGGAAATAAATGAATCTGGTGCAAAAAGGCAAGATTTCACCTGAAGAATTAAGAGAGTTATCATGGGTGCTAAGGATCTTGTGCAAGGTCTGGAAGAAGTCAGATGAGAAATGAGAGCAAGAAAAAAATGAAATTGCCAGTTGTTGGACAATTTAGAATTAGGAAGAAAATCAAAACTGAAGACTTCTAGGGAGGAGGTGAATTATCCCAAAGAGTAGAGAGGCAATAAATGAAACTTAGATAACTTAGGTGTGGAGCTATGGGTACACCCAGAAAAACAGGGATACACACACCTGCAGAGGGGAGAAAGGAGATGAGCAGAAGAACTTTAATCTTGGAGACATGGCAAAGAAAAAGAGGAGAAAAGGAGAGGTTAAGCTAGCTAGAAAGCAGTAGCCTATGAGATAAATTTAAATTTAAAATTTTAATTTAGTTAAATTTAAAGTTAAAATTAATTTAAATTTAAAGATATTAAGAGCCAAAGATTTTAAGTTAGGGAAGAAAGATGACTACTGAATGATGAAGAGATAAAATCCTATAGCCTTTGCCCTCCTGAGATTCTACTCGGTAGCTAACAAGGGACAGACACAAAGGATTCAGAAGTATCCCCAGACAGCTCAGCCAATGGAGAGAGGGAGAGGGAGAGGGAGGGAGAGCGGGCAGTGTCATCAGTGAATTGACTGAGGGAGTTTTACAGCTAGAAGAGATGAAAAGAGAAGTGGATTGGAGACTAATCCAGGAGAAGGGATCAAGCAGTGTGTGTGTGGGGGGGGGGGGGGGGGAGGAAACCACAGCTATCTGAGATTATATGCAGAAACAGCTTTTTACCAAAGGAGTAGGAAAAAATGATTTAAGTACTGTATATGTCGTGCATTATGTATCATTACAACTGTATTATGTAGTGCAGCTTTCAGGAGATTGTTCATCTGTTTAGTATAAACTGTGAGCAAGCCTTGCGGAATTCGAAAAGATTCATCCTGTTCTCTGTTCATAAGTAGAGATTAGACACTTTTCTCAGTGGATTTCCTAGAAGGGAGGATGGAAATTTACACGCTGGCTAGAAATTTGGTAGCAAATGTGAAGGATAGGAAGCCAGATGGAGCCTGTTTGGGAGATATTTGGGGAGACAGCTCCTTGAACTCAGTACCAATTATTCATTAAAGCTATACCTAAGTAATGCCAGATAGCTGAATGAAATTTTAAACGGGGATGACTCTATTGCAGAATAAGTATACTTTGCCTAAGAGTCTGGCTATAAGAAGATAATCTAAGGATGAAGCAATGTTATTGGTCAATATTCAAAAGTCCTCCTCCAATCACAGAGGGACTGCTTTGGAGTCAGAAGGCAAATGGGTTCTCAATGACAGCAAAGAACTAGAAATTCTAAAATGAGATGCGCCTAGATTGGCAAGAGGCAGCCTTTGATCCACTGCATTCAGTGCATATTCACTTCTCATAGAAGTCAAAGGAGAATCTCTTGCTTAGTCCCTGGAATAGCTGATGGCATAAAAACTATTGTGCAATGTAACCAAAGGCAAGTCAATCACAAACTCTATGCTTATCCTATCTTTAACCAGCTACAGATTTGGAAGCAGTGAAGGAGTTGCTGTTTCATTTACCTCCCTGACCCCACTTAGGAATGTTCTGCACTATTTACAACAACGTCTAAACATGTTTACTTAGAAACAAGATTCATGGCATTCAGCAGGATTGATTTCTGAATAGTATGATACTGCTGGTTTTCATTTTAAGAATAAAAAATGAAGATGTCCTGATGGAAATGTTACACATCCATGTTCTGACAGTGATATTATAGTATATATGTGATATTACTCCACATGAATGTTATTTCTATAACATTTTATAATATGACCTGAGTGCGGCATTCATTCTAATTATTCCTATTTTTTTGTATTGAAACTCAGTACAGAAATCAGAATCCATTGTCTCTTAAGTACCTGATCAATAGTGTTACAATCTGCTGAAAATCTGTTCAAAATACTTCCCAGGGGTGTGGTTTCGAAAAATCTGTAATAGACAATAAAAGGAGAATTTCATATTGAAGATTAAAAATTGATTTCTATATATTTCAGATTTTCTTTACTAGGCCTTTTAAATTTATTTTATTTAGCAATTGTTAATGAAAAAAATACTCCATCTTCAATAAATTTTACAGAATTCCAAATGATTATATGATTCTAATATTATTACATTTTACATGTATGAATCATTGCTAGACCAAGGAAATGATTAGCAAAATAGTCTGCATTAAGAAAGAACTATAAAAATTAACATTGGAAATTAATTAAAATAAAGGAATAAAAGAGAAATTTAGCATGATACTTGCTTTTAATTAAATAACAATAATGTACGATTCCAAGAATCAGTCCAGAATTGTTTAAATTGTTTAGTGATTGGATTATTTTATCTTTAAATTTTCACTTATATCAAACATGGAAACAATTTAACAAGTTGGAGAAAAGGCATGCTGGTTTAGAATTGTTCTCAATGACATTGTAGCTACTCAGACCTCAACAGGACAGTCAAGCTTCTAGATATCATAAATTTGGTAAGGACATGACGACATGCTTCTTTTCAGTGCTTAACATTATGACAGTATAACCACCATAAATGGACTATTTAATAATGGAATTTCATGGCATACCATATTATACAGTAAAAATATAGGATTTGAATATATTTCTAAGTTTAACATTCACAAATACTACTTTATTGCCACCTTATGTTTCTTCTTGAACATAACAAGGAATATATTACTGTATATGCTTGTATGTGTGTGTATAACACACACACACATACAAATATATTGATAAAAAAGCTCTCTCTTTTAAATTTATTTATTAAACTTGCTTCCAATCTCCATATATACAATTGGCTCTCTAGTGGTTTCTATTCAATTCCATGAGAAAAAATATTAAAAGAGAAAGGAATAGATTAAGATTCATAAAAACATGTTGAGATGAATTAAAATTACAGACTATTTGATCATGCTGATTACATTAGCCTGATTAAATTAAGATTAGATTAGATTAAATTGTAAATAAGGAGCATATAAACATAGTGCATTAAAATTATGAGATCATTAGTGATAAGGACTCCCCATGTCATTGTTTGTTTAATAAAACAGGAAAATGTATACTTTCCTAATACAATTCTACAGGATGTACAAATAATGCAATTAAACTTGTAAGTAAATAATTATTAATTATTTAGGACATAATTGAACACCAAAGGTTATTTAAAGATTACACATAACTTCATTAACATAGCATTCTATCTTCTTGTTTCATATAATACAGTACCTCATTGGGGCCAGAATAATTTTATTCAGAAGACTGCAGTGAACCTTTTTGGCAACTTTTAAGCCAGTCCATTCTACTGCTATTGATGTTACAAGGCATAATATAATCCCAACACAACAGAGAATGCTGAATATCTTTGAATAGGAAAAATGGCTAAACTTGGATTCCTAAAAAAAAGGAAGGAGAAAAAAAAGACTATTGCAAAACTATAGAATTAGTTATTCTATGACAGGTTTATTTTAACATGATATTGGTCTGACCAGATAATCATTTCCAGCCAACTTCATCTTTTTTTAACTATTATGCAAAAAAAGAGTAATCATTATTTGAAATTCAATTTTTACAAAGCGGTGGATGGTATCTGAGATTAAAAATATGTTTTATTATTCTTAATATAATAATAATAATAATAATAATAATAATAATAATAATAATAATAATAATAATAATAATAATAATAATAATAATAATAATAAAGTTGGAAGGGACCTTGGAGGTCATCGAGTCCAACCCCCCGCTCAGGCAGGAAACCCTACACCATTTTGGACAAATGGCTGTCCAGTCTCTTCTTAAAAACTTCCAGTGTTGGAGCATTCACCGCTTCTGGAGGCAGGTTGTTCCACTGGTTAATTGTTCTAATGTCAGGAAGTTTCTCCTTAATTTTAAGTTGCTTCTCTCTTTAGTTAGTTTCCATCCGTTGCTTTTTGTCCTGCCTTCAGGCGCTTTGGAAAATAGCTTGACTCCCTCTTCTTTGTGGCAGCCCCTGAGATATTGGAACACTGTTATCATGTCCCCCCTTGTCCTTCTCTTCATTAATACAATATAATACAATAGGAAAAGATAAAGTTTCCTTCATAGTCAGTTTAAGACCGTATGATCGTACTGTCATATCCCTGCTTTCTTGATAACTATACCCGGATGGTTTTAGATTGCCCTCATTTTTTTCTTTCTAGTCTGGTCTAAATTGTGCTATTTTTTTTATAGTGCATCCTCCAAATACTAACCAGGTTTAGCTTGGTCACTAAGATATACTAGTACCAAATTAAGTGTATCTAATTGGTGGAACAGAGGAAGGGAATTCAACTTGATGAAGTCAGGCTATGAGAAGTTAAAATAAAAGATGATGGGAAGAACAAACATGAAAAGATGAGTTTTGAAACCACACACACCTGACAAAAAGAGCAGTTTTTCCCCATCTCAGAGGAAATAGCATCAGATGTCCACAAGGCTAGCCAATAGTCAATGGACACCATGACCGAATGTTTTAGAAATTGAGAAAAGATCAACAGAGGCAAGAAGAGAAATCCTGCTGAGCTGAGATACTTCCCACATGCTTGCCATGACATCTCTGTTGTTCGATGAAGGACAGAAGACAAGTTGTCATCATCATCATCACTCTCAGGTATCTCTTCTATAAATTGACAGGAAGAGCACTAATGAGTTGCAAGAAAATTTCCTGATTGTCTATCACCTAAATACTGACAAATAGTAACTGATGTTAATGAAAATAAATCTTTTGGAAAAACTAATTTACCATCATCCTCTTCTTCATCTTGGAGGATTTCTTGAGAATGCACTGTCTTTTTAATATTCTTCTTATCCAATATAGTTTTTCTTTCAATTACAATCTCCTAAAAGGTAGGAAAAACAAGAGAATTTGAATACTACAATTATTTTTTTATTTATTTTCCTGTCAAATAATTATATTTCACAATTGTATGGATATTAAAAATTAGTGAGCCAAGTACATTTAGAGGCAATGAATTTTTAATTCCGTTAAAGAGATCCCAGGACATAAATTCCATCTATCATTTGAGGCTAATGAAGATATAATGTTGGCTCAGCCATTAACAAGGATTAAGAAATCAAACTATTATATGAGTTTCAGAAGCTGGATTGGAATATCGTTATGCTTGATGTCTATGGAGATTCTCAGTCATCCGGGTCATGGTTGTCCCCAAAGGTGCTTTTTCAGGAGGCAACTGGACTTTCTTTATTTTTCTTTGAAGATGTTTCGTTTCTCATCCAAGAAGCTTCTTCAGCTCTGACTGGATGGTAGGGAATAGAAGGATTTATATTCCTTGCAGACAGCTGATCATTTGCATTATTTTAGAGCAGGGGTAGTCAACCTTGGCTCTTTTATGACTCGTGGACTTCAACTCCCAGAATTCCTGAGCCAGCCTGGCTGGCTCAGGAATTCTGGGAGTTGAAGTCCACGAGTCATAAAAGAGCCAAGGTTGACTACCCCTGTTTTAGAGAGTTGTTAATGCCATTTGGAGGTTTATCTGTGTTCTCAGGGTCACCTGAATAGTGCAAATGTGTGTGGAGTCTTCTTGGCTGCAGGAGGGACGGCCATGGTCTGGATGACTGAGAATCTCTGTGGACATTTGGCTATGCACTTTGGGATGAATACCCTTCAAATGGTGTGGGAGTATGAACAGATTTCCAGAGGACATTGCAGACAACAGGAATCAGTTGTGCTTCGGTCTTCAGCAGTGAGGGAATCCAGGGCAGAAAAAACATCCTGCAGCCAAGAAGGCTCCAGACACATTTGCACTACTCAGGTGACATACTGCTCTGTATTGTAAAATTATAAATGTTTAATTTGCATATGACATCTTTCCTGAACTGGTACATTCTAGATGTTTTATGCTTCACTTCTCAGAATTCTAAACTAGCAAGGTGGTTGTCTAATGAGAATGGAAACCCTGTGCATTTTTTCATCAGTTGTATGTTATTCTTCAGAACACTATTTTCCTAATATAACTTAGAGTGCGGTAAAATAACCATTTAAACTAGAGGAGTTAATAAATTGCACTATATAAATAGGTGCACAAAATCTCCAGTGCAACATAGCAGTGCAAAATATTAATATCTAATTATGTTAAAATTCTACAATAAACATTTTTGCCTGTCACTACCGAGATTAAAAAAAACAAAACAGAACAGGCCTTTTCTAGTTCTTGGTCCTGTCGATTCATTAGTGTTTTCCAATGTTCAAAGAGCTCAGATTCAGATTTCTGGATATCCTTCAGTGTGCCTTCTCGCTGAATGGTACCATCCTTCATTGCAATAATCTGGAAAAAATCAACCTTTTATTCATCACAAAAATGGGGTGGTTTTTTTTTACAACATCCATTAATAGTTGCTTTTGTTATATAGGAATTTAATTAAAATTAAACTCTTCCAGAAGAAGTAGGATTAGAAAGATGACATTCTGTATCAGTTAGTTCATCTGTATCAGTCTTCCCCAGTTTGACATGTAGAAGAATTAGAGCTCAAACTCTCAACATTTCTGATTAATTACAGTATATCCTCTGCAAATGAAAAAGTTTCAAGCCAAAGAATATCCTAATCAGGATATATATTTTTAAGAATTGCACCTATTTAAAGTGAGTGTTGTTAAAAACTTTGGGGAAATTTTGCAAAAAGAAACAAAGGATTATTGCATCTTGACCAGACTAAGATGAAACTACTGCATTATAAGGTAATGTAGCAATGCTAGCTTGTACTCCTAAGTAAGGCAAAGATTGATTATGTGTATAACTTTTAAGTTAACTCCTATCATCTGATTCATATTTAACACCTGTAGTTTGGAATACATATATGGATTGGATTTTAGAAAGCAACAGATTAATATAACTCTAAGCATTTTACAACATCTTCCCTCTTGTTTTTCCTTTCCATTAGAGTACTTAGCAGGGCAACTGAGTTGAACCATAAAACATGGTATGAAATCTTTACAATTTATTTGTGTACAGCATCAAAAATGCATTACAAGTGGAAGCTTAAGTGCTTTACTATGCTGGTCTATGATCGTAATAAAGATTTGATTTGATGAGTGCTTTAACTACTGAAAGAAATAGAAAAGACCAATGGGGTTTGTAGGTCTTGCAAATGATGCACCTTGCATTACAAGCTCTGCCTATTTTATATATGTATATGACTTGGGAAAATAATGAGCCTTGCATCACAATTCTGCTATACTGCTGACATTGTTCTGATCCCCTTGCCACTATGGAGGAACTATTAGAAAGGATTTTTCACTTTCACCAAAATTAATTGGATTAGGAGAGATTACAGTGGCTCACAATTAAATGTTTGTGACTGTTTTTGTATAATTCCTTTTTAATCAATGAATTGTTTACTGAAACTGCTTAAATTACTGGCAAATTCATAAATGATCAGAACAGAGATTGAAACACATTTCAGAAATAAAAAAAAATGTTAGGTTTTGCTGCAGTAAAAACTTATTTACTTATTTATTATTTACAGCAAGAAACAAACCTGAAGGACCAAGAATTTAAATAAATTGCCCAAGTATTAACCTTTGATCAGAAGCTGATAGTGATCAAATGTGCGAGTGAGCAAAAGAGTTCGTGAACAAGAGAGACAAGGTGATCTCACAGAGGCATCCTAACCTTTGTATCTTTTTTCTCACTGAGATGTGACCCTGTTTATTTTATTTATTATCGTGGTTTTTAGTATCGCCTGTTCACCGCCCTGAGTCCCGTAAGGGAGATAGGGCGGTATATAAATTTAATAAATAAATAAATAAATAAAACAGTTTTAATGGAGCTTTTTTGAAAAACATTGTTTTAATGATGTTCTCATTTATTCATTTTTAGTTATGCTTTTGCAAAGTTTGGGGCTGAGCTAAATAGCAATATCAATAGCACTTAGACTTATATATACCACCCCCATAGTGCTTTACAGCAGAGGTCCATAACCTTTTGGGCACCAGGGACCGGTTCTGTGCAGAAAGGTTTTTCCACTGACCGGAGAGTGTGTGGTTTTGTGTGCTGCCTGTATCTTGCAAATGGAGCTTTGCTTCTTTGTGCAGACCAGTTGCTGGCATGCCGCGGCCCAGTACAGGTCCACAGACTGGGGGTTGGGGACCCCTGCTTTATAGCACTCTCTGGGCAGTTTATAATGTCAGCATATTGCCCCTGACAATCTGGGTCCTCATTTTACTGACTTTGGGAAGGTTGACCTTGAGCCAGCAGAATTGAACTCCAGCCTGTGGGCAGGATTTGCCGGCAATACTGCACTTTAACCACTGCATCACCAGGGCTCTTTGTAAATAACTATGAATTTAGTTCAATTTATATTATATATTTTCTCTCTTATTATCATCATACCAAGAGGGTAATATCCTAAAAGTTAGACCATAAATAGATCTGCATTTCTATAAATAATTTAAATGTAATGGAAGAGATAGGGAAGTTTCCAAATCCTATTTTCCTGTTTAATGCAAATAAATATTATTATTATTATTATTATTATTATTATTATTATTATTATTATTATTATTATTATTATTAATTGAATTTATATACCGCCCTATCTCCCTTACGGGACTCAGGGCGGTGAACAGGCGATAATAAAAACCACGATAAATATACACAAATTTCTGTCTTAAATCAAATTAAATAACAGGCCTGCTCTAAAAATACCCCATATAAAACCCCCACTAAAACATAATCAAACTACGCCAGGCCGGCCGCACGGAATAGATGAGCCTTCAGGGCTCGGCGAAAAAGGCGCAGGTCCGCAACTGTACGTAGGTCGGGGGGTAGGTCATTCCAGAGGGCAGGAGCTGCCACAGAGAAGGCTCTCCCCCTGGTCCTAAACATGCAAATATGCAAATGAGACGTGTATTATAGTTGTTTGCATTATTTAACGGAGATTAATAAATAAGGCATGAATTGCCCTGAGAGTTATAGCATCATCTGGGGTAGGATTACTAGGATCTATAACAGTTCCAAGTAACAACACAAATATCTACCAGGGTTGCAGTAATATAATAACACTACTAAAGGCAGGTGGAGGCATAAAAACCAAAGTTAAGCACACTTATGTAGCAGTGGGCACAATTTACCAGAACAATTTAAAAGTACTTAATAGTACTTTTACAATTTAAAAATATTTGCTGAATTACACCTACACACCATTTCAATATTTTGAACATAATATTAAGATTAACAAGTCAGTATAAAGAAGCTTCATTACCCAGTCAGCATGGGGCAGATATTGTAGTTTGTGGGTAACTAAAACAATGGTTTTCTTGTCTGCTCTTAGCAAATTCAGAATTCCTTCTTGCATGAGATGATCACTCAAGTGGATATCTAATGCTGAAAATGGATCATCCTAAACAAGAAAATAGATGTTACCAACTAATAATATTTCAGTACTACTGTACTATAATTTTTCTGTTTTTTAAATATTTTAGGAGAATTAAAATCAGTGCTTGCTGACAAGATGGGTTGGGATGAGATATGGATACTGGAAATAACCAATTTACAAAAACTAGGTAAGAGAGAAAGAGGAGACAATTCAAGAATTAAAAAAAAATCTCACTTTTTTCAGCCTGAAGGAAAGGAGTTTGCTAACTTAGGCATCAAATTGTCCCTCTAGGGCAGGGGTAGGCAACCTTGGCTCTTTTATGACTTGTGGACTTCAACTCCCAGAATTCCTGAGCCAGCTGTGCTGGCTCAGGAATTCTGGGAGTTGAAGTCCACGAGTCATAAAAGAGCCAAGGTTGCCTACCCCTGCTCTAGGGGATGGGTTTCACTATGCCATTACTGCCTTTGAGGAAAGGAATCTGTCTTCAGTGAGCTGTCTAAGGGTTCAGAAGCAGTGAGTTAAGATTTTGAGTTGCAAATGGCAGATTGCAAGGCTGGGCTAGCTGGGAATATTAATAAAGCCCAGTTGAGACAGAGAGGGTTCACATGGCAGAAGCCTTAAAAGCACACATGCAAGGACTATTTGTTGTATACAATGTTTGTAATAACCACTTTTGTGCTTTAAGTTGGGTCCTTGCCTGCACTTAAACTACAGTAATTAATATAGACATCTACTTAGCACATGACTCTGGACAATTAACAAACAACAGAAACAGAAACAAAATAGGAAAAGAAAGCCAATTTAAAAAAGACTACCCAATATGCTTTGAATCATTCAACAAATATCAAAACAAAACCAACAAGATGGCCCAATACTTAAGAAAGAAACAGTTTTTCAAAGTCTTATGGAATGCCAGCAAGGTCAGGGTCGAATCTCTAGACGTATGGGGATCCATAGGACAGGTGCCATGACAGAGAAGGAATGCTTCCTTGATCTCATTAGATGACATTGTCTAATTAATAGACAATAACACGCCTACTGCATCAGAAATAAGGGCAGTCAGTCTTGCAAATAACTGGCCCGGTACCATTACAGGTAGTTCTTGTTTAGCAACTGCCTTGTTTAGTGACCATTCTGATAGAAGCTCTGGCTTCCTTCATTTTAAACAATGCCATCTACTGGGACCCCTGGAGTGCATCTTCTCTATCATAGCAACATTCCCCTGGAGGGCATTATGTAGTCATTTTATGACTACATCAAATTGTGAGTAGTAATTTGTGATGTCTACGGTCTAGTTTATCATAGACTAAATGAAATAAATGGAACAAATAGCAATGGAGAATTATTTCTAGACTTCATCTGTACACTCAGATGGACAGATGGTCTTAGATGTATCTGATGTTGGGAACTGGCATCATACTGGGGAAAATATTCTACTGACTTTGTGGATCCAGAATATGAATTCTTGATAGAATTGGTTGTTGTTAGTCGAGGAATTTTGGAATGTCGGGTTTTTAGGTTGAAGAATGTCATTTATAGAGAAAAGAAAGCCTTTTCGGTTTAGATGATAGAATTAGTAACAGTAAACCTACCAGAAATACCACATTTGTCTGTTGATAAAGAGCTCTTGCTACACTGATTCTTTGGCGCTGACCTCCAGATAAATTAATACCCTTGGGGAAAAGATAAAATAATTCAGTTAGAAACCTATACAATTTTGAGACATTATTGTTTCAATTATGCTTTCCAAAACCTGACATTTCAAGGTATGCTTAAAAGGTAAACCAGTCAAAAGTATCAAAAGTTATTAATCAAGTTAATCAGAATTTACATACTCATTCTAAAAAACACCCTAATTATATCTGAATAATGTATATATTATTTCTAAAATACAATGTATTTCACCATTCAATTATTCATCCTATTAATCAATGGTAATTATTCCCAAGATACAGCTGGAAAAGTAAGACTGAGGTAACAGCTTAGTCAGGATTATTGTATTCATGACTTAGAAATTATATAAATCAATGCAAGTTAAAATACAATAGTTCATATAGCTGTCCTTTGACAATGCTATGTATTAACATGGATGTTGCAAAGAATTAACATATCAAAGGTAAACCTCTGTGGCATAGCTCAGCCTCAATGTCTTCTATTGTTCCTTGGACATTCTCTAACATTCTAATATTTTTCTTTATCTTTTAATATTGTATTTTAGCCCTTATATGTTCTATTGATACTACCATGTCCATGAAAGAACATCAACTGCAAATCTAGATCTACTGAAACAATGAATGAAATGTCTAGATGAATAATGAATAACAAATCTAGATTATTGCTGTTAGATGACCCAAACTGTTTGAATATCTGAGCTTCTAGATTATGAGAGAATTGTCATTGGTACCTAAGGCAGAATAAGTTTCTTTTTTCATTATTTCAGCCTTCAGTAAGGAAATATATTCCATATTTATTAACAAGTGCCTTTCTACTTCTTACTTTAATTGGACTATTCTAACATGACTTTCATAAATGCTTTCTAGATAATGAAAAAAATGTTGTTTTGTTTACTAAATATACTTTCCCAATATAGTATTTCAGTCAGTGCTAGAGACACCAGAGATGTTGAGATATGGCAGATAGAAGAAAAACTGTAACACTGTGTATTAAGTATAACACCTTCATCCTAAGGATCTGAAACTGAGTTTGCTGTACAAAGCCATTTTCTCAAACACCAGTTATAGATTTAAGACCATGTGATAACCTTTGAGTGCTTAATGCTTTATAATTATACATAGTCACTAACCCTCTCTCCAATCTGTGTTTGGTCTCCATGAGGTAGTATGTCAATATCAGGCTGAAGACAGCAAGCATCAATTACTGCTTTATACCTGTGGAAACAAAAAGGGTAATTGTCAATTCATGTG